ATAAAAATCGTAATGGCTTCTGTCCGTATTACAATGAAATGTTTCAATTAGTGATCAAAGAATTTCTAATGACTGATGAAAAATCTGGAAGATTCTGTTAAAAGTTACACACCAACAAACTGTACAACTGCGGCAAGCAATAAACACTCAGCAATTCAGATGGGTGTAGAATTGACCCTAAAACTTTGAAAAAATTTATAATGAGGAATATTCCACGACTTTATTTACCATCTAAGCTAATATGGAAGCGGTTGCATAATATTCGCAAAGAAGGGTAAATTCTAGCATATTTCAATGAATTTCGAAAATCTGCTCTTGTATCCTTAAATGAAACCGCTCAAGAATACGTTAGAATTACAATTGTATTAATCCAGGAAAATTCAATAGCGTTGGAGATATGGACAATGATTGTAATATTCTCTACTTGAAACATTTATGCACGACAAATTTTATGGGACCGGGCTTCGGATGAAGTAACCAGACTTCATCAGCCAAGTACTTAAAGTAGAAATTAAGATTCATCTGCACTTCTGCACATGAGCCAGAATTTCGAAGATGTCAGCCAGTCAATAAGCTTCTTACTGAACATTTACTATTTTGCATTCGTAACTGACGAGGTTTGTTGAAAATCTGTTCTCATACATCAGTTCAGAATTGCTGCTTTCTATAGCGTAATTTGTTTTTTACATTACTAGTCTACAGCCCCGATTCATACGCTCGACGCTCTGAAGTACGAACGTGTCGGTTAAGGCCGTTTGGAAGACTTTGGATGCCTTCGCAATTTTTCTTGTACTTAGTAAGTATAGCTGTAATATGATGCATCGAAACAAAAGCTTTTTCTAACCTTCGCAATGCCTCTTGGCTCACAATCATTTGTTTGTTGGGTGTCTTGTGGTCAGCAACTCTGACGCACAATGACTGTAATGCAAAGTAAGCTGTAAGTCAGGCAGTGAATCTGGAACATTACATACGTTGCGTCTTCAAAGGGTAGGCGGTCTGTTACCTTCATTAATTGTGATAATTACCGTTCCTTTAGACTTGAGGGAAACTCCTGTTCGCTGAGTTCATGCTAACAGATTCTGGAAAGCCATGTAGGTGTTATATGCCGGATTTTGCTTAAGTCTAACCTCGGGTCCAATTCATTAACTAAATGCTTTCAGGATGCGCGTTTCTGATTATCCATTTCCCTCCAATACGTCATAAACACGCACCACTTTTTTTGAGCCCCAGTATCAGAACACAGACTGTGCAATCGACAATCTATCAGGCATGTAACCACTTACGCCATAGTGCCAAAAAACGGTTAGATTTTACATTCAAATGGTGGTCTGCGTTTGTAAGCTATTCTGTACACATAGCAGCTGCTTAATCGACATGCGACTGCGCATAGAACAGTTCTTTGGAGTAAGTTAAGAAATGATCATGTACTGCTCTTGCTAAAATTCCATCATGAACATGATTTTCAAAAAATACATACGATATTTATGTAGTAAAGTACAAAAACTTCTGCATCTTTTTCGCAGACATTTGTCAATTTGTCATCTAAGGCTATTAGTACTCAAGCAACACGTATAGAGATTTACGTAACCTGATCGTTAGAAGGGGCATGCCGGATTAAAACTGGACAAATTTTATGCAAAGTCCTAGATCACGTTTTTCGTAACAAGCAGATCTACCTAAAACAGGTGTTTCCATATTTTGCAGACATGAAAATAATCAATATAAAAAATAAAATAAACTTCAGCTAATAATTTAACATTATAATGATTAATCAGTCACGGACAACATGATACGAAACGAAGTTGAGAACGTGATATTAAAACGTTTAAAAAAGTTCCGGTCTGCCCCGGTTCAGGCAGAGATGGCGAAGTTTGAAGGAACAATCAGCTCCACATGAAAACATCCGCTGATCTTGATCGATGTGCAGCGCATAGACGCCCTGCGAAAGGCCAGTACCTACCTGCCGGAAGCTGAACCCCCCTCGGCTACTGTGCTCGCCGGGAAAACTGTACAGCAGCTGTGGCACAGGCGAAAGATTATAAATCTGAAAACACTATTATTCGATTAAACACATCATACTGTACGAGCATATCAATTTTAAGAGTTAAAAAGCCCAATACGGTGAAATGATCCAGTGACAATGATGAAAAATGAAATTTCGTCACTGTAGGAATGTCGTCTTCCTCTTTTACGATTGAGCCATTTTGGCGCCCATCTCTTTGTGAAGTTGACGGTGTGGTGCTGATCTGCATTTCTGTATGATCAGCCAAGAATGCCTTATTTATTTTTAAGGTAGAGTCT